ATGGCAGTTGGAGCTTCGCCGAGCCGCCGCTAGGGCCCACTTCCCGCCAAGTGATTCAAAGTGGTAGGCGGCGACGCGAGGCTACCTCACGGTGTGTTGGGCGCTATGAGAAATTACCAAGCCACCTTGACGCTGGTGGGCGAACCTGGTAGGTCGGACGGGGGACGTCGTCAGGAAAGTCATGCTTGCGATTGGTAGGTCTAGTCTTGCGAAATATTCAGCTCCACTCCAGAGATAGGTCAAATTTCAGGCGAATGCCTTCCCCCTTACGTAAACGCGTGCGTACGGTCGGTAGGTCTAGTCTCGCCAAATATTCAGCTCCACTCCTGAGGTAGGACAGATTTTGGGCGAATGTCTTCCCCCACACAAAGGGAAGCCTACTCCCGGAGGACCGCGTTGATCTACTGAGGGCAGCTTTCGGGCGTGTGCTTGCACCACCTCGCCAAAAGCCGAGTAGGTCAAAAATGAGTAGGGCCTGTGATATACACCCAGAGCAAAACGGAGAAAATTTTCGTTCGAAGGGGTCTACTTTCACAAGCTACTCCTTAGGAGACCATCCAATATTTTTGGAAATTATTTTTGGGCCACTTTTGTGAGAGAAACTCCCTGTAGCGCCCAAACGGTGGGAGATAGAGCAAAACGGACGAAATTTTCGTCCATAGAGCTCTACTCTCTCAAGTTACCCCTTAGGCATCATAATGAAAAATATTTTTTGCAACTATTTTGGCCTTTCCTGTTTTCTTCGATACCCCCTTTCAGCCCCTTAGGGGTGGCTGGCAGGATTTGCCGTAGGCGTTTTGTTTTGCGGGAGTGAACCTTGAGATCCCCTGAAAATTTGAAGTCTCTAGCATATCTCCTTGTGGAACAGACAGACACACAGACACAGACAAGACGTCGTTTGCGTAAGCCCGCTGGATAGCTTTTTCAAAGCAGAAGGGCGGGCTAAAATGCCACCACTTTTGGATTTTCGTTATCGTCGCAAGAATTGGAAGATAGATAAAAATCACACTATGTGCGACAGTCTTCTGTTACTAGGGAACCGGTCCAGGGGTCGTAAACCATACACTCGACCTTGAAATTGTAGAGCAGAGCTCTCTGATGAAAACAAAATATGGTATTTTTTCCCGTCAAAATTTGAGACACCTGGAACTTTTACCGTACAGGTCTCAGGCCTCTACGGGAAAAGTTCCAGGTGTCTCAAATTTTGACGGAAAAATTTCGTTCACATCTTGTTTTTAGCAGAGAGCCCCGTTCTACAACTTCAAGGTCGAGTTTTTGGTCTACGAGCCCCTAGACCGTTTTTAACCTTACTAATCCGACGTTTTTGCGATTTTCGGTATTTTTTCACTAGGGTCCTACCCTAAATCAGCAATCGTATCAGTGTAAGTGTTGTTATTTAATTGCTATGTGCAAAGCCAATCAGGTGAGGATTGGAGTGGAGCCTCCGGAGTGTAGACCCAGCCGTTTGCCGCCTCGCCGTACCCAGAGCCTGTGACGTGACCCCTATGCTTGATCGGCGCGGCTCAAATGATGACTTTTCTTGGGAGAGTGGGGCGTCCCGGGGCCATCCGGGCCATCCTGCTTCCGCATTTCCGCGCTGGTCCCCCGCCCTTTAATCCCCCAACCAGATTAGCGCGGCTCAAAAGGCGAACCCCCCCACCGCCATCGGGGGGGGCGGGATCTCCGCCAAGCCACGGGGTGCAGTTTGACGGGGTGCAAGGGTGGGCTGGCGCGGGCGGGCCTCCGGCCTTACGGCGACGACCTACAACAAAAAGACCATGTTAGAGGTCGCATCAACTGAAAGAGAAGCAGGACGGAGTGATACTCACCGGGCGCTCCGCCGCCTCCTTCACTGCCTCCGTGGCCGCCTTGGCGGCATACTTGGCAGCGCGGCGTCCAGCCGCCTCCGCGCGGCGCACCGCCTCCCTCAAGGCCGCTGGAGTGACGGCGGCGAGGGGTAAAAAACTCTGAAATCGGTGTACAAATGTCGTGAAATGGCGTTGAAATGAATTGAAATAGTCTAAAATGGTCTGAAATATTTTGAAATGGCCTGAAATGGTTTGAAATGGCTTTAAAGGACATGAAATGCTCCCTGACCTCAAGCAAGGACATTTATTATATTGCTGGCTCTATCATGCGGGGCTATTTAAAAATTGCGAAAAGATTTCCAAAGAGTACTATATGGCATGAAGTTGTGAGTGCATTGCAATCAAAGGTTCTAATTGAAAAGCCGGAAGGGGATATCAGCACAGATGCAGAATGGACTAATGATGTTGACAGAGGTGGTTTACTCTACATTAATGCAAAGTGCCAAGATTTATTTGTTAAGGTATGTAAGGTCATTTTTTCGCATGAAAAGAAAGATGGTTCAATTGAATACGAAGCTGTTATAGACAAAATTCTGAATTCTGAACTAACTCTTGACTGGAATAATATTATTGGTACGTCACTTAGTGACACTGTTTCTCTGATCTTATTTAGTGATGTTGTGCAGTTTTTCTGTAAAACATGTGGGCGTGGTATTGCAAAGAGGAGATTAAACTTTGTCAGGCGTAAGCCTGTGGCATCTTTGACTACAAGGCATTTGGCTTCCAGCCGCAAAAACCGTTGTATTTTGATTAATAGAGTGGCGCTCTTATCTAATCACAAACAAATGTTCCTTAGTTGACTAAGTGGAAATATTTTATGTGTAGCAATATTAGTTACCTATTCAAACATTCTGCTGATTTTGTACTAGTGTACATTTATGTTTGCATTTTAAAGTTGACAGTATTATTTTTGTTTTTTATTTTATGCTGTGACAAGATCATATTTATTTTTGTTTCTCTTTGATTTCATTTTATGTGGTACTAAACAATAGTACCAAACTTGTTTAACTGACTGTAACTTAAGTACAAGAAATTTAAGACAATATCTCATATATTTGTTTAATAAAACATCTTATTCTGAAGTCATAATTTTATTTTTACCAAGACAACAGCCATATTACAGAATGTATATATTTAGTCGCATAAAAAGACAACAATCTGTCAAACATTTAAACATTTAATAACACTTGCTATAATACAAATGACAATAGAATTTTTTGAAGCACTGTAATAAACTATAAACAGGGTCACATTCTATACATAACACAATTATCGAATAAGTCTATTCTTTAAGTGTACTGAACTTGGGAACCCTGACACATTTCCTTTTGGGCAGTGGTTCATTTGTGACTTCTACCACTCTTGCTTCTTCGCCTGAATTGCCTTTCCTCTTCCTCATTCCCAGTTGGCCGATGGTGTGAAGAGCTCTCAGCCTGTTGAGTACTTGTGCAAGGTTTGGGTTGGTGCTACCTCCCTGCCCTGCCCTGACTTAACTGAACTGCTGTTCGAGAGGATCTTGAGTAAAAATTCGGGCATTTATGAAAGACACGCCTTCATCCAGAAGAAAGTGGACAAGGGGCTTGAAGGCTAAAGTTGTTATACGAATGCCCTCCAACGTCTCTCTACTCAGTCTTCTTTTACATGCAGGGGTATCTGTTTCAGAATTGAACACAGCATTTTCAATTTCACTTACATCATTGTCTGGGGAGTCAGCAGCTACTGAGTTATCAGCAGCAGCTGTGCTTACATTAATTGATTGGTCAGCAGCACTTTCTGATTCTCTCTGCATTTATCTAAGTACTTTAGAAAATCATCTAACAAATCGAATCGAGGATCTTCCTTGGATTGATATGGGTGCAAATTTTCATTCCTAGTTTTCCTTCCTTGTGAACTGTGTGCACAGTTTAAGCAGTCAAACCACCGATTAACATGGTCAATAAACAGTACAGTTTCTGTAGCATCATACCATCCCTGTTTTTCCATGTCCCTTGCTACAGTGTTACTCAAAACTTGGCCAGCAAGATTAACTTTCATGCGCGCATAGGAATCAGGGTAGACATTTTGGGCATTCAGTTTATAGGATTTTCTGAGAGTTTTCTTTACTTTCTCATCATAGAGTCTAATGACAAAATCCCATGGAATTTTCTTGCCATTTTTCACCATTTTTCTTCTGGATTTTTTGTTGTCCCATCTTGAATTAAGTAGGCAATTTCTGATGGTCTTCAATAGGTGGGGCACATCAGAAATAAAGTACAACTTCCGGCCTCGTGCAGCTCTGTTCACAGTGTCAAACACTATTCCACTTTCATGCTGAGTAGCAGGCTTGTGTTTCTTGAAGGAAGCACGGTTGACTGATGATCCATCACACACAACAGCAACAACAGCAATAGAATGTTTCTCCAGGTCCCCAATCACATGCCAAGTCCACTGTTTCAGTTGGTTAGCAGAGAGGTTTGACACAGCATAGGTAGCTACCACCTCTTTGATACCATTGGACACACCTTTAATCATGTAAACAAGAACTTTTGATGCCATTGTATTTTCTGATTCCAAGGGTGCTGTGGTATCAAGCAAATCTTCCAAACTTTTAACTTCACTCTCTATGGTATCCAAAGAAGTGTAACCAACCATTTTACCACTAGATTTAAGAAACACAAGGTTTTGGGATATATACATTTCATCCATCATTAACACATGATACTTTTTATGCTTCTCTGGAAATTTACTGATACGGTCTACAAAAGACTCCAACACTACTCTATCCACTCCCTCCTTCAAAGGTTTTACATGAGAGCAATCAAACAGGGTCATACTGCAAGGTAATTTAATCATTCCTGTTTGACTAACTAATTCATATGCAGTTGGGGAAGTTAAGTGCAAAGCCAGGGCAAATCTAATCATGGTGGGGTGCCACCTCATCCCACAGGCTTTTTTCTGCTGTGATGCTTTGATCTGTTGCTGGAGGAAGATTGACTGTGCAGGAGTAACATTAGCATCTCTCAGTAATTCAGAAAAACAATCACCAAGTTTTGTAGGAATTACAAGGCCTTGTTTCTGAATGACCTCCTCCATACGCTGCTGTAGGCGATACCTTTTCTTCTTTAAATTGTCAGCTTCCGTTCTTAAATCTTTCAATTTCTTGAGCCTTTGTTCTTCAGTGAGGTGGATATTACCAGTATAACGGTGGCGCTCTTCAGCAGCTGCAGCTTTTTTTCTTCTACGTAAGGGTCCATACATTTTCTTACATTCCACACAACGCCACTTCTCAGAAGGCAACAACATAGAGCAATTAAATGCCCTGAAGGTTTCAATATATCTACACTCAGCAAACATGTTTCGGTCGACCTCCCCAAAGGAACATGATGCCCAACCAGGTTGCAAAATTACGTCATCATAGCCAGCACAGATAGACATCCGCTCAATATTATCTACTATTGCTGCTGCCCTGTCAACAAAATTGTCCACGGTGTCCAGCCTCAGAGGAAGGGGAGTAAGCTTAACTTTCTCAACAAAAGCATCACAGTTAACAGGCTTAGAGTTCACAAACAGTTCAACAGCTTCTCCAGGATAAAAAAAAAACACTACGTTGAATACAAGCACTCTTTTGCAGGGAAACTTTGATGACGTGAATTTTGTCCCTGTCAGCAATACACATCCAAGACCGTCTAAGAAATTGCTCAAGTTTCTCTTTCACAAGTAGAAATATTTCTTCTGAGACGGCCCCTGAATCTTCCACCTC